TAACCGACCGTTTTTCCCATACATAACATGTCTGTCTGTCTATCTACCTACCTATCAATGAGTCTATCTATATTTATGTATTTCCCCCATCTATCTAACCTGTGTAAAGTGTCAAGTGTATCAAATCTTATGTCTCATCTATCAAGCTAGCTGTCTACATAGCTTAAATCTAGCTGTCTACTGTCGGTCGATCTGTCTATGTTCCTATCTACCTATGTTCCATCTATCTTTTCGTCTATCCATCTAAGTCTATCCGTTCAGCGGTCTCTCTTTATCCCTATCAATCTCTCCATCTGCCTATCGATCTCGCGAAAGTGCTGCGCCTGCTACGACATCTATACCCGACCCTTCGCAAGTGCTTCGCCTGCCAAGAAGTGCGTACCGGACCTTGCGAAAGTGCTGGCCTGCCACGAAATCTGTTGACCCCTTCGCATTTGCTTTGCCGGCCATGTGTACCTGACATAGCGAAAGCGGTGGCCTGCCACGAAATCTGTACCTGACCCTTCGCAAGTCCTGCCAAGAAGTGTGTGCCTGACCTTGCGAAAGCGCTGGCCTGACTCAGGGGGTGCTGGGGGGGGGCAGGGAACCAGCTCCGAACCATATGATTTAATTTTGTCAAAATGTCCGCCCCAGCTTTGCCAGCTTTACTTGTATATTTACATGTGTTTCTTTCCCCCATCCTGCTTGCTCAACAATGCCAATCATGTCATGCACGTCACGTTGCTTTGTTTAAAATACAGGTTGTTTCAGGGTGTTGTCTTGTCAGTGCCTCTAAGCCTCTTAGCCGAATCTTCTTCATTGCTAATCACTTTTCAAATTTGTTCAATCATGATGTTGTGGCAATTGCGTGGTAGCAGCGGTAGCTGCGCCATGCCAGCAAGGCCCCCCCCCTACCCTATCACAAGCAAGGGCAGAGCATGAGGACATGCGGTAAGTGCCAGGGCAGGATGCGCCGCAGGTTTCTACATCAAGAGGCCAAAAGTCATGGCGGCCTCACTTGCAGGGTTTCCTGGCACCTGTCTTGACATCATTACAGTTGCAGGTTCAGCTGTTAAACGAATCTCAAGCATGTGGGTAGCCAAAAGTCCACCATATGGACCGCAGGTTTTGATCCGTTCCATTTACCAGGGCAACCCGTTTTGGGGTTACCCGATTTTTGACAACCACAGCAGTTACCACTCGGTTTTCGTTCAACAGCTCCGACTGCGAACGCAGGCGACGAAGTTGTCATTGTGAGCCGCGGGAACAACATTTGCCAGGCAGTTTTCAGCCCGCCCGTTTCAAGGCACGCGCAACTCGCGGACCTTGTCTTGGCAGGGGTGGTCTTTGCCTGAGCCGAAAGTAGATAAACGAAAAACAAATAGAGGTGCGCGAAATAGCTGGTCACGCGCTGAGCGAGACCTTGCCTGGCTGTACTATGAGTGTTGCTAGTGGGTCAACCTCTAGTTTTTCAAACAAGATAACTTGAGTAACAGTCCCAAAGCATCCAACTCTGGCTAAACGCTAGCTTGCCCAGTTTCTGATCATCATACTTTGTGAAATCACTGCTTGGAAGAGAAGTAGTTTTGGATCATACAAATTCAATTTAATCACGCTTGGTACTTCTCTCAATGCTCGGGAGAGCCTGTGATTAATTAATCAGCATGTCATAAAATTATACTTGGAGTAGCCATGTGTGACCTGGGAGCAAGGGAGACCATGCCTAACTGCAATGTGCAAACGCAGATGCTCCATTGGAATGTGCGATTCGGTCACACAACTGGGTAGCCTGGAGAAAACTTTGGTTGGCACGGGGGATTCACCAAAGCTCCGCTAGTTACTTTTTGTGGTGTCCGTGTCGGCTCATGTGATTGCCATCTCGATGATTGCAGTGTGACTTTCACCTGAGTCATTCAGCTCAGTTTGCGCATTTAGTATTGCTGTTGAGCAAACCCTTTTAGTGGGACGCCAAAACATTGGACTTTGTTTCCGGTAATGTAGTCTACAAGCGCGATGACATACGGAGATGGAGTAATTTTTGGCAATTGTTAACAAGTGCTGCTATTCACCGGACTTTCCCCGAGTTCTGAGTTTCACTGAAGCACAGGTACGGCTGTTGGGCCTTGAAAATTCATGTTGTGTTGGGTCTTCAGGCGGACTCCAGAAATGAGGCAGGGTTCCATGAACAACTCCGGGATCTCACGTAACTCAGAGGACTAAGAGCTAGTCATGGCAAGCCCTCAGAGCGCGCATTGCGAATCGGCCTGGGCTGGCTTTGCAACGTCGAGTTGCAGGCCAAGAGCATACGAGTTTAGATGCTAAAGCAAAAAACTTAGCAAGATGTTTGAACATTCGAAGATAGTATTTGGTACCCGACTGTTGCACCCTCAGGTTGCATCTCAGGTCAGATCCTGAGGCGGGAATATGCGGGAATACTGCCTTTGCCAGACGCAAAGCGGATTCCTTTTTGCGGAATCCCACCTCCCTTCTTGTCCGCCCCCAAGGGCTGCCCATGAAGGGCGCCCAAAGGGGTCGTTCTATGAAATCCAGTGGGCGGTGTTTGGCATTTGGACTGAATGCCAACCACCAACCGTTTAGGCTCGTCGAATTTCAATGGAGTTTTAGGTTTTGCTGGCCCAAATGGCTAGCAGACCATCAACTCTTTTCCAGAGCCATCGACCTTGCAGGCACTGACCCAGTCTTCCGCGAAACCGTCATGCTCTTCACGACCTGGCGCACCATGGACAGCTGTTGATCACACATTGTCCAAAGCCATGTATCCTTCGGTTGTTTTGATTTAGGCAATTCGAATTGGCACCCTGCAAGCGGTTTTGGCCAGTTTCTTCGGGTCACATCTTCATTTTCGGCCCCTAGTCAACTCACTTCCTGAGTTCATGAACTTCAAACACTTTTTGGGTTTGGACCATTTTAGTGGTAGATATAACAAGTTTGCACTTTTATTGGGCCATCCACTCACCCGAGGTTCAGCAACTCAGCGACCTTGGGGAGACTTGTGCGCCAGTGACGTAAGAGCCTTCGGCCTGCCCCGAAGCCCGCCTCACTGCCCTCCGCTGTGATCGGCCTCGAATTTGGAGCAAGTGGCCTTCCGGCATCCTTCCATTTGCTGAACTGAGTGTGGGTCAAAATGAAAAGAAAACCAGGATCCATTTTGGGTACCTATTTTGGACCAGCCAAATGAAGATGTTTTTATCCTGCTGGTTTTAATGGGAATCGATTTCGCTACTGGAAATATGTTCTCATGTTTTTCCAGGGGACTCGAGCAAACGGAGGTGAAGCCAACACGATTCTTTCTGGGCCGTGCCATTGAAACAGGCCCCACCAAGAGAAGGAGAGGACCAGGCTTCAGCGGAACATTCTGCAGGGTCGCCTGTTTGCTCAGGCCATTGGACACTGAATATCCCAGACGAGAGAAGTGCCAGGACCCAATGGCTGGCAAATAACCCCAAAACAGCCATTCAGAGGTCATTCCGCATTTTTTTTTGCCAGGCATTGGGGAGGTCCTGGATAGTTACATTCGCGTGAGGGAATGTGGTTTAACTTGGTGGCTCCCATCCTTTTAGATCGTTTTAGTGTTTAGTGGTAGTTTCCAAATGTAACCCACTAAAAGTGAGTCACTTTTCGCTGATCAGCAAACGGGCAGCCCAGCAGAGGGTTGCTGACTGCCAAATGTGCTGACTGCCACTGGCCACATTGCCATTGACAAGACATGCGTTTGGCATTGACCGCTGCGAGTGATGGGGTCATCGCCTGGAGAAGGATGTCCCGAGGCACGCCACTAGGTCCCCCAGCGATTGGTGCCCTTTTCCCTTTTTTTTTTTGGTTGGGAGGGTTCCTCTCAGAAAAAAAAAAGGCACCCTGATTCTAACCTCTCTACTGGAGGACCTAGGCTTGTGACTCTGTGTTGGTCCGGGAGCCCAAACCCCCAGCAATCCTTCAGGGGAGTCCCTAAGACCCTAAGGCCATCAGACAAAAATCAGGGGGTAGCCCTACCGCATACCAATGCCGGAGACGCCTGGGCTTTGTGCCAACTTGCAACATCACTCTCGTAGAAGATGTGAAGTTGAAGATGCGTCAATATCTTGGGAACAATCAAATTGCGAGTGTGGTCCGCCACAGCAAGGTGAAAAGCCGATCAGTTGGCCTTTTGGTTTTTCAGTGTTGGTCTACTTTTAGTTATGATTCTAGACGGTTGTCCATTCTTACGTCCAGAGCGAGCGTTTCAGCCATGCTTGACTGTGACACTCCGCAACCAGAAGTTTGAGGAGCTCAGGACGAACCATGTTGCAGTGCGAAAGTTTGATCAGGTCGAACAGCCATACAACCGCATGAGGCGTTATCTCCAGATTAGTTCATTGTGAGGATCCTATCTAGCAGCCGGCTGGGTTCCTGACCGGGTGAACGGTCGCCTGGGAGTGCCTGCGCGCAAGCGTTTTGCAGGTCGAGAAAGAGTTCCGATGCTGGGCGGTTTGGGCGGCTGCACCGCCCCCCTTTACCCAATGGCAGAGACTCGCGGTGATGGGGACCCAGGGCAATAAGCCCCCAAAATGAATATGTCTGGGTATGCCTTCAAAAGAGTTTTTGCGTTGGTAAGTCCACCTTAAGCCACGAGTATGCGTCTCGTACTGTTTATCTCAGCAAGCCGACTGATTCACCTCTCGGCAGCTTCCACGGCTCGTCAACCTCTTCTGGTTCGAGAAGGTTCACGTTTGATGTTCATGTCCTTTGGTCCGGCAAGACAGGGCTCCTTTGCACTGCGGCAAGGATCCTGTGCGATTGCCTAGATGAGTTCTGCTGGGGTGTTTGCCCGATTTGAGCTCCGCAAGCCTTGCTAGCAGACCTCCAACTTCACCTTGATTTGAGAGTTTGGAAGCCAGAACCCTATGGCTCATTTTCGGCGTCATTTTGACTGTTGACTCATGTTTATTCTGAATAGCCCCACCCCTCCCCATGCTGACAAGGTGTTAACGCCACGTTTTCGGAGGGCGGCCCTGCTCTGCCAGGACATCTCGGAGCGGCGTTTGATCGGTGTCCGGCTCCAAGACGGGATGTCAGCTCACCTTAAGACCTTCCGCCGCGTCTCTTAAAGCCAACGGTTTGTGGACACCAAAACGACACCACCCATTCCGAATGCCCGCAGACAACATAGATCTTATTGGATAAAATATATCTTTAGATAATTACAGTCTATATACATGTGTATAGTACATATCATATATATATATATATATGTAATGTACTAGATATACAGTTTATATGAATGGATGGCCAAACCTGATTGGGGCGAGCGTCGGTTTTTCCCGGTCGCTCAGGAGCTCACGCAACATGGGCAGCGTCTGCGTGCCGGGGCCCGAGATCGGGGGGTGTCCCTTAAGCAATAAGCAGGGGTTCATTCATCTGGGGTCAACATTCATGGGGAATGGAAATGAGTAGAACTGTTACCCCTACAATGGCTATAATTGGGCAACATATGGAACTTGTCCATATCTCATATCCTGCTGGTTGAGTTGCGACTTTCCCCTTTGGTTCTGTTGGTAAATGGACGCCCTTTTATTCGGACTCGTGGACTAGAACCTTCGTCGATTCACCGGGCGAGTGAGAACCAAAATGGGGATACAGTTGCTTTTGGCGCAGCTTGCGCCTGGCAGCCAAACCTCTGAGGGTTTTGGTACACCCTGAAATACACCCTTGGGAAATGACCCGGTCTTGTCCGGAAATGTGCCTAAATAGGGTCAATACCAAGTCGGTGTATTCCCAGGGTGTAATACAGAAACCCTTAGAAAACTGGACTTGCCCAAAAGGTCCCCTTGCGAGTTGAGGAACTGACCCCAGCGAGGGTTCCGAGTCGGTCCAAGGGCAACCCTTGGATGTGGAACGAACAGGAATGGAATGGAAGGAAGGGAAGGGAACAGAATGACACGGAATGAATGAAAGGAATGGCATGCATGGATGACTGCAATGAGTGGATCGAATGAAATGTCATGAAATGAAATGCATGGCCTGCCATGGAATTCATTGAATGGATGAAGGAATGGAATGGAAGAAGGAATGGAATGAAATGAAATGGAATCGAATGAATGAATGGCTAGAGGACGCATGGTTCAAACAATGAATCAATGAATGAATGAATGAAATAATGAATGAATGAATGAATGAATGAATGAATGAATGAATGAATGAATGAATGAATGAATGAATGAATGAATGAATGAATGAATGAATGAATGAATGAATGAATGAATGAATGAATGAATGAATGAATGAATGAATGAATGAATGAATGAATGAATGAATGAAAGAATGAAAGAATGAATAAATGATTGAATGAAATGAAATGAAATGAATGAAATGAATGAAATGAATGAATGAATGAATGAATGAATGAAATGAATGAATGAATGAATGAATGAATGAATGAATGAATGAATGAATGAATGAATGAATGAATGAATGAATGAATGAATGAGCATGTTTGATTGTTTGTCTGTCTGTGTGTCTGCCTGGCTGTCTGTCTGTCTGTCTGCCTGCCTGTCTGTCTGCCTGCCTGCCTGTCTGTCTGTCTGTCTGTCTGTCTGTCTGTCTGTCTGTCTGTCTGTGTGTCTGTCTGTCTGTGTCTGCCTGTCTGTCTGTCTGTCTGTTTGTCTGCCTGTCTGTCTGACTGTCCGTCTGTCCGTTTGTCTGTCTATGTGTTTGTCTATCTGTCTGCCTGCCTGCCTGCCTGCCTGCCTGCCTGTTTGTCTGTCTGTCTGTCTGTCTGTCTGTCTGTCTGTCTGTCTGTCTGTCTGTCTGTCTGTCTGTCTGTCTGTCTGTCTGTCTGTCTGTCTGTCTGTCTGTCTGTCTGTCTGTCTGTCTGTCTGTCTGTCTGTGTGTCTATAGTATGTGTTGCTATCTACTATCTAATTAATCACCTAGTCTCATCTAATCCAACCTGAATCTAAGCCTAATCGAACCTAGTCTAACTTGGTATAGTATCGCAGTATGATATATGATGTTACGTTACATGATATTGTATTTTGGTATTTTAGTTTTTTGTTTAACACAGAAGCTAATCTATCGTAGCCCTGTTTAACCATATCTCATCTAATCTGCTCTAGCTATAGTTCACTATTATATGCATTATACGAATTTGGTTTCTTGCAGTTGTTGTTATATTTGATCATTTCTTGTGGACTTGGATGTCTGCTTAGCCCACAACCTGGAGTTTAAAAGGATTGTGCCTGAGCTGGCCAAACTGTTGAACTTTTGTCGCTGGTTTTCTACACGATGTTTGGTGGCCCAATGGGCCGCATCTTCAATTTAGGAAGGAAACCAAAACCCAACACCACTCTGCCCATTTCGACCGTCCTGATTTCGCTCTGAATTCAGGCCCTGAACTGGAGGGGTCTGGTCCGTTTCAAGTCAAGTGATGAAACAGCCAGCTCCGCCATACACACCCAACAGATTCAGTACTTGGGAACCCTAGCCGGCCGAGTAACCAGCAAAATCATAACCCCACACACCACACTCATTCCCGTTTTTTTTTTGGGGGGGGGATCCTTTTTCCTAGGGACTCCCTGTTTCCCAAACCGCGTCCATCCCGAATCGCACCAAGTCCAGCTGTCGCCGAGGTGGCGCGAGGTGGGCGCCCGGGCAAGGGCAACGAGGCCTTCAAGACGCCCACGCCTGGGTGCCCGGAAGACATCCGGGCGCGAGAAAGGGGGGGGGGCTGGGTGTGGGTGGGGGGTGGGTGTGGGGGGATGGGGGGGGTGGGGGGGGGGGGGGTGGGGACGGGGTCAAAATCAACTTCATTTTCTTTGTGTTGGGGGGGGGGCTTGGGGGAAGGGCGGTGGGGTAGGGAAGAGGAAGTTGATGGCCAAAGCTGTGCAGTGACATGTTCGAAAATGGGGTGAATGATTGATCCATTGCTCCATGACGTTGAAAGGATAAAGAGTTCGAGAGGTTTCAGTTGTTTTTTGTTTTACGGTTGAGAGTTTGAATGGTTTGACGGTTTGGTGGTTGAACGGATGAGACGAGCTCAACCAGAATTCATATATATATATATACACACACACACACACGTCATGAAACACATTGAACTGACAGTTTCCCTGGCAATAGCATAGAAATTGATAGTCATGAGCTGTTTGGAAGGGGTTGGCTTGTGCCACCAAATGGTGAATCAATAGCTTCTTAAGATCACTTAGGAGAGTAGCTAAGCTTCAGAATGTAGAACACAGCATCATTTGAGGCAAGCTGGGCCTGCTCAAATGTTAAACAACACAACAAGTGATTACCATTACTTTACAGAAGGTTGTCAAATGCTCTACACATTCCGTTGAGAGTGTTTGAGGCTACATCACTGGAAAGAGTGTTTTAGGGCACGCTTAGATGCCCTTATATCCCGCATAATGCCCAACCTCCTTAGATACTGTTCAATATTCAATTTTGACCGGAGGTTGGCACAGACCATCATAAGATAGGCTCGCAGAAAAGGTACCCTTGCAAGATACAAAGCTTTCAGCTGCTGACCGCAGCTTATCTCCCATAGTTCTGGGGTAAGGGAACCTCAAGCATGGCCTTCTGCGTCTTGAAGGTTGTCACTGGCATTGGACGAACCATCCCTTGCACCAACCTTCCAATCTGGGCACGAAGCCTCTACTGGCATTCCGGCTGTGGGTATGGAAGACAATGGGTCAGTTGACGTGCGGGTCAGTTGACGTGCGCCTAATAGATATTTCCTGCAACACTGTCCGGCAGTGCTGATTTCTGTTCGTCAAATCATGATCAAACAGAAGGTGTGTTCCCTTCAGTTTTCCTTCTGAAAAAAACCTACCACAAGGGTGTCCTTTAAAAACGCCCTCATGTCCCAATGCCTCTCATTTGGGATGTCCAGCTCGCTTTTACGTTGACAAGGGTCCACGATGAATCAGCCAGCTGATTAACACTGGGGCCACAGGAGTTCCAATTTGTTTCTTCACTTTTCAGGCGAGCGCCCCCTAGTTCACCAGGTGGATAAATCTAGGGTCAAGAAAAACAGGGTCGAGCTTTTCTCCGCATGAGCTACATTTTGACTCAACGTGAAGCATGGAGTCTCGGCTGGGGCCAGGCAGGCCACTTGACTTGTTCTGGAAGAAAACAAGTTGCAACAAGAAATGGGTATGGGTCAAAATTCGACCTCGACCGCAGGTTTTAGTCCTTGGTGCCATTTACCAGGGCAACCCATTTTGGGGTTACCCCATTTTTTATTGTGTAGGTGATAGCTTAGTGCTGGACTGGAGACTTTGGAGCCGGACTCAGTTGCAAGCCGTCCAAAGCCACGTATCCTTGGGTTGTTTTGATTTAGGCAATTCGAATTGGCACCCTGCAAGCGGTTTTGGCCAGTTTCTTCGGGTCACATCTTCATTTTCGCCCCCTAGTCAACTCACTTCCTGAGTTCATGAACTTCAAACACTTTTTGGGTTTGGACCATTTTAGTGGCAGATTTTGATAAAGTTCACACCTGTTTTTTCGGGCCATCCACTCAGCCGGTGAGGTAAAATTCTTAAACTACACCCCACGTGCATGCAAACGCAGAAGAGCGAACGAGACTCTCCAGGCACCAAATCCGTCCCTGCAGTGACATGCTGGAAACCAGAAAGCTTAAGCAGGGCTCCTTAAAGTAAATTCATTTTGCAGCCATTTAAAACAAGAATAAAGGGAAACAACACCACTTACAAGTTGCAATGTTCAAGTGTATAATGCATCTGGATCCCTGTTAAGATGCCAGGACATGTTCTCAGAAGGGACACAACTCATTCCTAGCACCAACTCCTCGCAGAGTCGGTCGGCAACGGAAGTACTTGACCACGGCAATCATGGATCTGGCGTGGCAGCAAATGAAGTAGGACGGCAATGAACCCAACATACCTTTTGACAAGCAGGAACCTTTGGATTCGTCAGCACCTCGTCATTCAGGCTAGGAATCGTCCAACGCCTTGTTGAAAGTGCAATGTTCCTTGTGCCGTGAGAGAACTCGCCGAGTTGCTAATTCCCCATGCGGCAAGGCCTTCCCTCTGCACGAATTGCAGCTGCCTTACGTAAATGACTGGACGTACACAAGCTCCAGGATTCCTTGCCTCAGGCTGATGAATTGCCGGTTTTTCACCCATCCAATCTGCGAATCTCAAGTTACCACAGACATGGTAGTCACAGGATCTTGGCCCCCCAACCCCCTAAAATGGAATTGGGGGAGGGGGGTGACCCGTGGAATTCCAGGTATGGTTCCATTTTCCCTTTATGGGGAAGACGAGATAAATGGAATTCGGGGAACCCCCACCCCCCTCCCCCTGGAGGTAGGGGGGATTTTTGGAGGGTTGGAGGCTCCGTGGAGATGGTTTTCCAACACGTCCAACCCCCGAGCAAAGGGTCTAAAAGAATACAGTCCCGTGCCGTGATTCGGTTTAGCACCCCACAAGCCCAAGATATTTGTGCCCTTGCACCAATTGACATGGAACCTGACGCTCGGGACCCAGTCCCTTGAAAAGGAGAATGGTCCAAACCAGGACCCCCCCGCCCCTCAGGTTCCATGTCAACTGGTGGGGCAACCAAGTCCTTTTCGGCTGTCCAGGAATACGGCGCCTTTCTTCTTTACCAAGGGCGAGCCAGGCGAGTTCTGAGTGTGTGATGTGCCAAGCCCCTTTGGGTTTCCCCTGAGGGTGCGGGGGTGGAGGTGGGGGAGTGGGCGGTTTTCGAGGACCTTTTTTGGAACTTGCGTGGAGTCGGTCCTGTTGACCACTGGGCGATTTTGGCTGTGCAATGGCGGAGCGGGACCGCGCTTCCGCGGTCCAACTTGTCCCTTCCCAGCCCTGCTTTGTTTCTCTGTTTGCATGCCATTTCCTGCGGTGGGGGCGATGTTCACAAGTTGGGTACTCTACCCATCTTTGTAGCAGTTCTGGCCCCATTTCGTAGGGTCAACACTAGGGTCCAGACTGTCCTGCTTGCCTTTTTCCCTATACGGGCAGGTCCCTTGCCTGTCAATATCACCAACGCAAGCATGCGCCTCGTAATCTCAATCACGGACCGATGGTGCTTCTTGCAGAATTTGACGTTCGATACCAATCTGCTTGAAGTCAGAGAACCCGAATGAACATCAATTCTTACGCTGTTCCAAGGCCGTCCTGAAGTGTTCCCTGGAGTTGAAAAAGGATTTGGTTTTCTGGGTGCTTGAATAGTGGAAATCATGATTGGCAACAACGCCACTACTTTGATACCCCAGACGTGTTGGCGCACAAGCTCTGGTTTGCAATGGACTGATAATAAAGCAATGTATCACGGTTTCGAACCGAACTCAAAAAGACACCGCCTTTTTTTTTTGAGGGGGGGGATTTGGGGGCGTTCCCACGTTTTTGACACCCAGCGCATTCAAGTCTCATGCGTCCCTTTGACTGCCTATGGCTGAGTCTCCGCCGGGGGAAGCGAGGAAATCCAGCGGTAGAAAGCCTGCGGTGTGTTGCTGATTTAGTTGCAATACTTCATTTTGGCTTTTAACATATCGTTCTTGAACAATCCTACCAAAATACTTTGTCGCCAATGGAACTAGACAGGGGAGGAAAGACGTTCCGCAACACCCTGCCAGCTTCCATGATTGAAGGGAGGGTTATTTGGCACATCCCTCTTTCCCCGGATGGTTTTCACAACCCCTCCCCCACCCCCCAACAAATATATCCCCAGGGGTATGGATATGCAGCCACTTTGCAGCCACTATACACAAGGCATGCACGTGTTTCCCTGAGGTGGAAACCATTTTTCATGTTGCCTACAATTGATGGTTCTTATTGGCGGCTTCAAGCCCTGGTTCTTGTGGAGGGAAAATGACCACCCCTAACCACCCAAAAACTAATTCTAGGTCCCCCAGTAGTGCCCTTTTACTCTTTTTTGGTTGGGAGGGTTCCCCTACTAAAACAGACCACAGAAAAAAAGGGTACCAACTTATTCTAGCCTCTCTACTGGACCTAGAATCCAAACCACCAAGAGAGAGCCAACGCGAGGCCGCGGGCGCTGGATAGACCTCGAACTCAAGATTATCTCAGACGCCGGCCCCTCACGTCCATCCGAGGGAAGCCCAGTGGAAAAATCGACCTGGACAAAAACCCCACCTTTTGAATTGGTGGCTCCCAGCCATCCGGTTCCTTTGCTTTTGGCTTTTATCTTTTTGGTGGTAGTTTCCATTTAACCCACTAAAAAGGATCAACTTTTAGCGGGGGATCTGAGGGCAGCCCAGTTGAGTCAAACCCATTTGTGAGAATTGGTGGGTTCTAAGAATCGAGATCCGATCGCTTGCACACCCACGTGGTTTTCGCATCCGAAAGGAACCCAATTCCTAGAACCGTTTCAACAAAAGCTTGGGTTAATCAGAGTGTTGAGTAGCTTCGGCAACGATTTATCGAGCGTCGTCAAGCGTATGTTGTGTTATGCTATAGGGGGCATTGGGGTGGCTTCCATGCTTGGCCTTCCTGTGTCGTTTTTGTTGGTTCATCTGGATTATTGGACAAGCTGTAAACATAGTTTGTTACATTATAGGTATTTTCACAGTTCTTCCAATATATAGTGTTTGTTTGTTCTTCGATCCAATATTCTATTCTTCTGACGTTTGAGATTATTCTATATAATCAAAGGAGGTTTGGAAGGAACTTCGGTAGTACGGACACTGAGTGAAAGGTGATCTTGCGCACAAACATATGAATGCATTGCGAGACAACATGAGTGTGCGTGCGGCGGAGGACTAGACATCGCGAAAAGAAGGGCGACCCGCTTCGCGTTTTGGCGGGTCCGCGTCAATGTCTCTACGCCTCTCGACGCCTGTCTGGCACGGTCTCGTCGCAGCAGCCTTTCGCAGGGTCAGGCGCAGGCTGACTCATAAGGCACGACATCCAGGCCACGTGGCCACGGCTTAAAACGTACCCTGTGAAAGTCCCACACTGAGCTTTGGGCCACGGGGAATCGCAAAGGGATGCATTTTTAGTCAATCTTGCCAGACCACTTCGGGTGACACGGGTGGTAAAAGGGAAGCCTTTGTTCTTTCAGAGAGTCCGTTCTACTTCAGCCAACAGGCGCCGTGAATCAGATCTGTGTTCTTCTTCCAGGGTTGGTTGCCCTTGCAAATTTACCACCCTAAGGGTCTTGGAGATGTGATAGGCGTTTTGACAAAACCAACACATCCAACAAAAGAAGCCTACCGAGCAGAAACTCGCATTCAGTTCTGGCTTTGGGAGGCACGAGCTAGTTTTTTTTTTCGAAACAAGGATCCCCGGAAAGGATGCGAATGTACGGCTGGAATCATTCCAGAGTGTCATGCCCAGATGGCCTGGAGTGCGCGTTCCGAAACACCACTGAACACTTCACTTGCCTCAGTGCCCGAGAGGTGTGGACCGGACACTGCGCATCTTTGTTTCGGCAAATGAGTCTGTCGTAAAGTTGGGTTGCCCCGAATTCCGAGAAGTCTAGAACAACCCGAGTCTGGGCGTAGTTTGTATCGATCGGAGTCTTCGGGTAACTTTCACATTGGGGTGGGTGGCCTGTGTGTTTCACGTGATACGGGCGGTGGTTTAGATGATTCTATTGTTAAGATTGCCGGACCAGGCAGACACTGAAACACATGTGATGTGTCCAATCTCTACCTAGCGGCAATCTTAATTCTACTGCTTCATTGGTGAAATGGCGGGCGTGGTGTGCGAGAAAACTTTTTCTTTGAGGGCCCTTCGGAGGGCACGACACACCCGTTTTGCCACATGCCGAGATTGGCATCATCGGCGTGCCAAACGCCGGGAAATCGCCGGATGCCTCAGTACCTGTCGCAAACCGGGCGAGTTTGGCCTGAAGTGGAACGGATATTTGGTTGTCAACATCTCCAAGACGGAAGACGGAGACTTAAGTACTCATGGAAACCAGGAAACCAGTTGGATTTGATTGGAGGGCCTTCATGGGACCGCTTTTTTTGGATCCCATGTCAACTTGCAGGGGAGTTCTGGGGGGCGCCCCTTCAAATCGGACATGTTCATCTGGTTTCTCTCAACGAAGACCAACTTCAAATCAGAAACCATTCAGTGTGAGAGGCACATTTCAGGGCCCCGTAAAGTTGGAGTCCCCGTTGCAGCTTGAGAAGAAGACACCATCAGGGGTACCTACTTCCATTTGGTTAAGATAATTCTTATTTTCCCCTGTTGGTTTTAAGAGGAATCTATCACTACTGGATTTTTTTTCCAGGGGACTTGAGCAAATGGATGCCTAGGAACCTGCTGGGCATTTTTAGTGGCTTGTTTTAGCAATACACGCAGAGTTTCAGACCCCACCCGAACATGTTACTCCCTCTTTATGCATGGGCCTGGTGTGCACCTGCGAGATCCGGGCTAGGAAGAGACCGATTATGCGTGAGGGGGAAATCAACAGTGCTGCAATCGTGGGGCAGTTGCCTGGCAGGAGAGCCCACATGAGATCAAGTCCGCACACAGACAGGAAAGCAACACACAGAGACAGAGACCTTGGTTCACAGCAATCACAGAAGCTGACCTGAGATTTGGAATGGTTGCATCAACTATGCCTCATTCCCAACTGCATGATTCTTGGAAGAAAAGGCCTATATGCTACATATGTTGCAGAGAGACAAGAAGCTCACCCACGAAGGTTCCCCTCCTGTCCGCTTCCAACATCTCAAACACGCACGCCATTACAAAGGGGTCACCGGCATGTCTACTCTTCTACAGGACTTCTGCGTTTCTTACACCTTCCCATCACATCACAGACTGCAGGGTGTCCATAGACTATTGGACTTTGAGAGGGTCAGCCTCAGGGCTCAAGTTGAGCCAAGCCACTGGCAAGTTGTGGGTCTCAGATGTCTCAGGTCGCTACTTCATGCGGTCACCGACAAGCAGCCGAAGATCGCCGCGTGCCAGCTGCATGGGGTCATCATTAGCACGGGGCGAGGACCTCAAGTGAGCCATGATCAAGAAGAAAGATGCTAGGTCTTCCAGTAGCCTTTTACCAACTTTTTGGGGGGAAAGCTCACCTACTGAAATCGACTACAGAAAAAAGGGTACCCACCCTTATTCTAACCTCTCTACTGGAGGACCATCTATAGTGTTGCCCCCTATGGGTGTTCATGTCTTTTTTGCTACAGTTGGCGCAGAGGTGTGGTTCGTGACTGGGGCAATCAAGACCATTTCCCTTGTGGGGGCAAATTCGCCTGCAGTGTTTTTGGCGCCGGTCCATGAAGGTCCGAAAGCCCTGCTTGCGGCAAAAAAGCGTCACCGGGCCAGCCATTTGACGCATGGCCGCTTGTCCTTGCCATGCACGTTGGGTTTCTTATGCGCAGTGAACCGCAACTTCCGTTGACGCTGATTCACAAGATGCTTCTCAGGTCTTAAGCAGCGATACTGTGGATGGACGGAATCCTGCACCGCCTAAGAACCCGCCTGGAATGAGGATTCCCCTGTAAATACCAACAAACAATGGTTTCCCATGGCTCTTAAATGGTGCAGGAATTCGTCCATCGACAGCAGTCTTGGCATGTTTAGATATAATTTGTGGCACAACTGGAAAAAGCACAAAAGACCGCCCCGGGAGCAAGCAGTCCGGAAACGTATCCTCACCTGGTAGTGGCAGACCCCTGAAAGATTCTTACCCTGGGCGTGCTGCAGCTTACTCTCCCCCTTTACAACCGTTTGAAGGCACGCAGTCTGGAAAGACGATGTTGCAGGGGCTTAATAGACAAGTGTAAGTATCACTTCCAGGGATGTGGCCGAGACCCAACACGAGAATCAGACAAGAATCGGCTTGCTGGGAGAAGGGACCTGGACGGGATGGGGCGACACGTCAACTTCCACGGGCCAGCAGTCAACAGGAGGCTGATTTGGTTCTTGACGATACCTCCATCTTGAGCCCTAATTCGTAAAGCCGGAGTTGTTTGCTCAAGCGGGTGCCTGTTTGGGTGACTTTAAGGAAACACATCAGATCAGGTAACCCTTCATTGGTGGTTGGGGAATTGAACCCTTGCTTGGGCAAACGGGAAACTACAAACCGCCAAACCGCCAAACCGCCAAACCGCCAAACCGCCAAACCACCAAACCACCGAACCGAAGCACCTGGACTTGCAGGTACCCCTTCACTACCACAGAGCCCAACCTGGGCTCGCACGCCCAGAGTCCGATCGGATCCCTGTCGCAAAGTGACGAAGCGGGGAAGCAGCATGGGTCCCCCAGTAGTTCGGACCTGGAAAATGGAGGCCAGCCCAGGAGATGTTTTCTAGGTCCCCCAGTACAGTGCCTTTTCCCCCCTTTTTTTGGGGGAGGGTGCCCCTACTAAAATCGACAGGGAAACAAAATGGGGTGCCAAGTGAAATTCTTCCTCCTCTCTACTGGAGGACCTAGACACCATAGGGCCGGTGACTCAAGAAAGCCACACCCGGGTTTAGCGGTACGCTTGGGGGTCTGTGAAAGGGGAGACGGACCAGGTTGTGGCTGATTCGCAAGTGGTGCACTCATGCAATCGCTCCCCCTTATTGAATGCCTTATTTTCAATCCACCCCTATAAATGGCTTTTTTTAGGCCGGTCAATATCCAAGAAACACACTCCCTCTCTTTTGACTTTTGATTGACGCACTATACTCAAACAAGAATTACTTATCTTCTGACAATCGTTATCAAGGGGTACTTTCAGCTTTCAGCACTGTCCTCTTTCATGTATTTGTCAACTCAAGTTGTAAATTGTAGTGTTAGTTTTGCCTTTTAAAGTTTGCATTGACAAATCAATCAGGTTCTTTAAGCAACTCCATATAAACTCCTTCCTCGGCTGAAGACGCATTGGACGGTTTTCGTGCCAGGCAAAGGGGGGGGACCCCATTGGGACGAGAAGCGTAGTGGCAAGTTCAAGCGAAAAGGAGACCAGCACTGATGAAGGTGCCTTGACTTACTCTGTGGGTCTCCTATGTTAGATTGACACTGTGGGTCAAAATTAAACCACCATCGGACCACAGGTTTAATCCATGTTTCTATTTACCAGGGTTCCCGTTTTGGGTACATATTTTTGACCCACTGCCACATGCGCTTAGTTGTTCACAGACATTCTTTCTGTCATGGTACCTCTTGGGAGGACATGGGAGGTCTAGCATGGCCCGATCCAACTCAGGGGGGCTCTCCGTTCGGAGCAGAGGCGTTCCTCAAAATACCCCTTGCAAGTGCCTCACTGTGGGAGATTGGTGAGTCCAAAGGTTTTGCAGGTGTGGGTTCTGGAGGCACCATGCAAGAGCTAGATACTGGCTTGCAAACTTACATCAATGGTATGTAAGTGTCTGTACTCCAATCGTATCATGTCCAAGCCAACCCTTGGACCTTGGTTTCAAAGGTCCACGTCCTTTAGGAGAGGCCCACAGCCCAAAGGGCCCAATGCAGACACAATGGACCTTCCAATGACCTCAAGTTGAGGTTTATGCTCTTGTGCTGCCGACCCTACTCTGGAGTCATGACTTTGTTTGTTTCTAAAAAAAAAGAGTAAAGTCAGAAAAGAGGGGGAGGTGACTTTGATCATGGCAAAATCATGGGGCCAGCTACCCCCATACCGTGGATGGACGAATTCCTGCACCATTTAAGAAGGTTTGGAATGATTCGAGTCCCCTGTAAATAGCAACGGACAATGGTTTCAACCATGGTTTCAAAGTGGCGCGAACGGATTTCCTCCATCCGCAGTACTTTGACACCGGATTTCGCACCGGAGGGAAGACTTTGATCCTCCGAATCCTCCGAGGCCTTTGGAAGCGAGACGTGCACGGCGGCCTCACGCTGGTGGATGTGTGCGCCTGGTTTTCGTTTTTTGGGTGAAGGGGCAGGTCCCCTCGGATCACAGGACATGGAACCTGGGACATGATGTTCGGTTTTCAGGGGGGCATGGATATCAAAGGACCAGCTGTGCTTTTTTTTGAGGGGAGCATGGATATCAAAGTTGTGGGCCTGTGATTTGCTTTTCTCAAGGAAAGTTGGAGATGTTTCAAGGCGGCATAGACAGGATCTTATAGGGTGTCAGGGTTGAATATGGAGAGGGTGATGTTGAACGGGGGCTTGAAGGGACGATCCGTCGGGAGAGTGCTCATCAGGGTGGGGCAACTTGGTGCCTCAACGCAACTTGTACCAGCTTTCGATACTCAAAAGGATGCCCAAGCGAACCCAGTTTGTGTTGGTCCTCTCAGATTTGGATTTCGCGGTTTTGTTTTGTCCCTAGGATTAGCGGGCCGGACCCTAAAGCCACACAAAACCGGCACTTAAGCGTCCCCAACCAGGCCCCAGCTAAGCCCACTCTACACCCTGAACCAACCCTAGGCAAGCCCTAACCCCAGACCCACCCTGACCCTGAACCCACCCTACATCCACTTTGAAGCATCGCTAGACCATCCCCAAACCAGCCCTCCACTATACCCAGCCTAAACCGTAACTTAACCTACCGAAACCCGCCCTGAAGAAACCCGACAGAGACCCTAAACCCACACAAGAAACCCGACAGCAACCCCAACCAACCCGGGAAAAAGAAAGAAACACCCAGACCCACGCAAAGCAAACCTTGAACCATGTTGCTGGGGCGTAATTGCTGCATGTTGTAAGACCATTTGTCATATACGGCTGCCCCTGGGTGATTGCCAATGAGTCGCCCGGACTCTCACTATGTCTTCTAGATTTGGCGTGTCTCGGCCTCAGTTTGGCTGGGGTCTTTATTTGACCGTTTCTAGAGGTTACCAAAGTCAGAAAATGGGGTTGTTTCCCTTTAACCTATCACTTAGGAGGCGACTTTGATCATGGTAGAATAATGAGGTCAGTTTGGTTACGGTCCCCGAAGTAACTCCGTGAATTCCCCCAAGGTCACTCCGGGACGGCTTCGGCCAATCGGGTTTCGCAAGCCAGGCCGGGCCTGATCGACGGCGCAGCCACTGGCCGCGGCATGGGTGCGCCTGCTGAGCCGATCTTGTGTTCGAGAAGTGGCAACTTTTGATATTGGGTCAGTTGCCAAACATGACCTCAGGACAACGTGCTTTTGGAGATGGACACTCTTGGACCTCTTAAGACTTAAGATATAGCCAAGTCAGGTAGATTCCAATGGTGCAAAAATGGCACTTGTCCCCCAAGCCCCCATTGAATTCGTCAACCACCACAAGGGTGTCTTGCCGATGGTTGGATCTCTCGCCCTCTTCACGCGAACTTGAGGTTCACCTTGCGTCCTGAAATTGGGAATGGGACCTTGCCCGTTGCTTAGCAACGAAAAGGACAAAGCCAAGTACTTTCTCAGCTGCATCTTTGGCCTTTGGCCAAAAGAGGGTACCCTCAAAACACCCACATTAATCCAGTGATTCCACTTTCCTTTGTAGGTGTATCAATGTGCTTGTTCTGGCTTTAGATGAGGGTTCCTCTTCTTACCTGAAGCGGATATAGAAGCAGCACAGTAGGAAGGTGTTGTTTGTTTGTTTGGTTGTTTGTTTGGTTGTTTGTTTGTGTGTGTGTTTGTTTGTTTGCTTGTTTGTTTGTTTGCATGTGTGGGTTTGCTTGCTTGCTTGCTTGCTTGCTTGCTTGCTTGCTTGCTTGCTTGCTTGCTTGCTTGCTTGCTTGCTTGGGTATATATGTCATGCCGGGAAATTGACTAACAGCAACCATGGCTGTTGCTTTAGAAAAGCAGCACCCACACGCCTTACTCGCGTTTCTAGCAGGGGATTCTACACTGTAGCCAGCTTCACAAGCCGACAGGCTTCAGGGTGCTACGGAGTAACATTCCCAGAACCCACGAAGTTCACGAAGCAGGCTGAGCAATCAAAACCCACATGACTTCGATTTGCTTCGGAGTATTTTGTTTCCGAATCTATCACTGGACATATTTGTCAACGCGTTGTAAATTGTACCAGTTGCTGCGCGAAAGGAGCACGCAACAGCTACGCGACAGCCTCGCAAAAGGGCGACAAATGCTCGCGAAAGGCGAAAGGCGACAGGCCACGTTGATCGTTGCGGGCTTTGCTTTGCAACTGCCCGCAGAATGTCAGGTCTTTGAAAGCAGTGTTAGTCGTGAAGTCTCACCTGGTCCAGCCACGAAGCACATGCATGTCGGCGCTGCGTAGGCCTAATTCGACCTCTGCGAAAACCATCGATTCAGGCCCAATCCACGAAAGGCGCGAGAAAGACCACTTTTTTTGGCCGCTCATGACCGCGTGTTTCCCTAAACACGAACCCCAGTTCAGGGATGAGTGTCGAGGCATGGAGAGACATGATGCATCCGCAAGGCATCCGATTCCTGCGCCACATCGAGCCGCGGACTCAGAAGGGACCAAAGAGGGGTTCTCACTCGCAGTCACTCGCGTGCCTCGACTTTTTTCATTTTGTTCGCGGCAAAGCCTCGTAGCGCCACATTTTTGGCAAAGATCTGGGACTTCGTCTGACTTCGTGTCGAATTGACGGCGAGATGTTGACCCCCTTTGGGTCTTTGAGTTTTTTTCTCTGCGGTGTCAGGCGCTGCAAGACGCTTCTCCACGTCATCGACGGGAACTCTGAGGTGCCCTGAAGAGCTGCAAAGGGCCAGGAAGCCATTTGGCGCCATGTTATGGGGCTCAGGGAAATCAGCGAGCCGATGAGTTCGATTGGCTCATGTTTGAGACACATATATATATATATAATAATAATAATAACAATAATAATAATAATAATAATAATAATAATAATAATAATAATAATAATAATAATAAATAATAATATATATATATGCATATGTATAATACCAGGCACATATATGTATATATATATATATATACACACATACATTGTCAGTTTTGAGGCTCCGTACCCTTTGTGTTCTTCAGAGGCGGATCCCGCGCTTGAATCGGTTCCCCGTGAGTGGGAGCATGTTAGAGCGATGTAGGGCTATGAACTGATCAATGGTGTGCTCAGCATATCCGTTTTGGTTGAATGTTTTTCACATTCCACATGTTTGTGGGTGAATTGTAACGACCTCGCACGACCTCACCCCAAATGGTGGTTTATGTGAGACATAGCCCCCAAACCACCTTATTTCAGGCTGGTGAAATATTATAATTCACCCAGATGTTTGGGGTTTGGTCCATTTCCCTGCAAAAAAACGGGCAGAATTTGCGGGGGCGAATTCGTCCTCGAGCCAGGATCCCCTGGGCGACTATGAGGCTATCCAGCAGGAGCTCAAGAATTACAGCTCGGAGGTACGTGCACCGGCACCATGCGGTTGGATGACTTCCACGACTTCCTTGTTGGTTTTAAGGGGAATCGATTTCACTACTGGATATTATTGAATCTTTGTTCTGGGGGCTTAAGCAAATGGAAGATTAGGTGTCCGTTGAAGCTCAGTCACATCAACGAATGAGTTTAGTTTAAGGCTTGATCACCCAACACTTTCGAAGTAGGGTGGATGGTTTCTAAATAAGATCTGTGCAGGTTGTGCTGAAGCCGCAAGTGATTGTGGTGAACAAGGCGGACCTGCCTGATGTGCAGGCACGCAAGCAAGCGTTCGTTTGCGGGCTTGAAGGGTGCCCGAGAGTCCGGCTGGATGCCGCCCTTTGCTTCCTGGCTTGGGTGCAGGTGTCTCGATTTCCTTGTTATGCTGGGCAAGGATCAGAGCCTCCTTTGTTCCATCAATGACCTCCTCCTTTTTAGGGTTGCAACAAAGAACGCCATTGGTTTGCGGGGGTCCTGCCATGTAGGACACAATCACATCGCAAGGTGCCAAGCTTTTGAGGGGGCAGCTTCATGAGATCAAACACCTACCTGCCTTGGGCCTTTTCAGAGCATTTCATAGAGCTAGAAGTAGTTCTAGAATTAGTGATAGCAACATCAAAATGGCAGAAAAAGAGTTTGCCAAACCTTGGCTTCTTCAGCCCTGCATAAACGGAGGTGTGAAAAACGGGTAGGCTGCCAGCGTATGGGGGACGAAAATGGAGGAGATTGGCAAGACATGAGTCGGCATTGGGGTGATTGACGCCTCTTCTCCCAGATTGGTTCCGATTTTCATCTTGTATGTTAATATAAGACGGGAGGAGTTGAAGTGCTAGCGCCCACAGACAGCAGACCCCGTTGACGCAGCGCAGGGCATGGAGCACCGAGGTTTAGAGTGACCGTTTTGCAAGTCGGATCTTCAGATTTTCCAGCAAGGTGGGGATTGAGATCCTTCCATTTGCTTAAGAATATGTTCTTTGTATTTTTGCCTGTTGGTTTTAAAGGGAACCTATCACTACTGGAAATTTGTTTATTTTTTCCATCGGTGTTAACCAAATGGAAGGATCCGCAAATTAGAATGGAAACCCGGGGGCTCTAAAAGGCGGTTTCCTCCCAAAAAAGGCGTGTGCTCTTTGTTAAGAGGGCCCCATACTCCCATTTGGAGCAAAGAAACTTCCGGAGATGGTCACTTTTTTGAAATGAGCGCAGCAGGGCTCATTTTTTGTTTGTTTGTGTGTTTTTCCGCTCAGCGTGGGGAGGTCTTGCTAAAGCTTCTTCACACCACTTGCCAAGATTTGTCGCTACTTGCGCAGCCGGTATGTGTCAACATCGAAATAGGTCATTTAAGTTATGCCTTATGGAGTTGACGTCCAGGAAGGAATCGAGCCATGAGGGCAGCACATGAGGGCAGGTTCTGAGGGGTCGAGTACGGCCAGGAACGCCTCCCGAAACTTATGCAGGAGTTGCGGAGGCGCGCAATGCAAGTTTGGAGCGCACCAGACCTTGCCATGGAATCAAAGAGTTGGTGGCTCCTAGCCATCCGGTTCCTTAGCTTCTTTTTGTTTTAGTGTTTAGTTTCCATTTAACCCACTAAAGGTTATTTGTTTGCCATCCGGTTCCTTAGCTTTTTAGCTTTTAGTGTTTAGTGGTAGTTTCCGAGTTCAACCCACTACAGGTTAAACCTTTAGCGGGCGGAAGACAAAGGGCTTCGGACAGACTTTGCGCATCGGCAGAGGAAACTTGAAAGAAAACTGATTTGGATGGGTCTACTACGTTTGAGACAGACCCACAGACACCCCAATATATATATATATATATGAGTGGGTCTTGCTTTAGGGGACCCCGAAGAATGGTGAAAAACGGATGAACATGGTGGTGTTCCTTTTGGTGTTCCTTAGAACCAAGAAGTGGGTACCCTCCAAAACACACACACACATGTGGTGGGATATAATATATACATATGCAGTATATGCATGTATGTTTCTATATATGTATAAATGTATACAGACATACATATATATATAGATATGTAGTTGCTTTTTGTACAACAGCGTCACCGCCCTGTTTGGGATGGAGCGAGTCAACCTTGTCTGGACTTGCACACTCGAGGAGTCATGTTTGAAGAGGAAATCCTGTTGTTTCTACCATAATTAGCGGTCTGGATGATTGAATCATGCCTTCCATGACTCAGGTGCCCTGCGTCCTACGGTTGGGTTCTTTTGCTTGAAGAGGCTTTAGGTGTATATGTATATGTATATATGTATGCCCAAACACAAAATTGGCCGCCCCCCCCCCCCCCCCCCCCGCACATTTGGTCCAAGCTTTGGATTCACATCCTCAAAACGACAAGCTTTGTGAGAAAACGCAACCCAGACACATGTGAACCATGCCGGCAGGCGCCCTGGTCAAGCCTCCTTGTTCCTTGGTTCCTACTAAAGGAACCGATCACCATGGCCCGTATTGGTAGCATCTAAAAGAAATCACAGTCGACTGTACCTTGACTGGTATTGGGTTGGATCTTTTTAGACTTTAACGTTTTGGGAAATCAAGGGGTTTGCCACTAAACCCACAAAAAGTTAAACTTTTTTGCAGAATGATCAACAGCAACCAAGTATTGTGTAGTCGCCTTCAAGTTAGGAGGATTGGCCTTGGGCGGAAGCCATGCCATGTCTGTTGAATGACTCTATATGGTCTGGGTCATTGAACGTCGGAACTAGTGTGTTTGTGCGTTTTTAATCATGGCTTCAACCACACTAAAGGTGTGCCTGCAGTTTCCAACATCCGTTAAACATGGGGCCACATACCCAAAACGAAAAGGTCATGAGCCCTTTTGTTTAGGGTCTTGGACTCCAGGTAAGCTGAATAGATATCCGTGCAGGCGCAGTGGACACACCCGGGTCTTCGACATATCGGCAGCAACCAGGCATGGGCATCACCTCGTGCTGGGATGGCTGTTGAACATATACTGGACTTCCAGCAAAAGTAGCGCGGAGCCCATGAAAAGACATCTCCCGAACGGAGACTCCTGGAAACAATCATCATGGTTTCGGGGTTTTACTCAAAATTCTGGGCGGAATCGGAGGTGAAGGACAACTCTTCTGTAGGGAAACCGGTGCCAAGAGTAGCTTCTGGGTATGTGCTAACTGCCTACCATTCAGGGATGTTGGACCGGGAATTTGGGCTCGAGAAGCCAGGCAAGCTTTTCAATGCACTTTTTATCTGGGGAGTGTTAGCCAAATGTTGCAACAGCAAGACGAAGGGCCAATGGCTCTTCTGCCGGTGAGAATTGAGTCACCGGTTCTAATCGGAGTTCTTCGTTGACCCTTGTCAGCGGTGCTATGGGCTTATGAGTGAGGGTCTTGGAGACGCCCGGGTTCATGAGGATGATGTCAAGGGCCTGAAAACAACTGCATAGTTACATGTTTTCAATATTGACATCATGTCGTCACAATGCTCATCTCGGCTCAACATCAATTACAGGGCCTACTACAGAACCTAGAGCCGTAGTTGTCGCTGTGCCCTTGGAGAACTTCCAAGGTCACAAAGATGTCCGAGTCGTAATTGTTTGGCCTGGCGCGCTTGTTTGCGGCGCAACCTATGAGCATATGAGGTGTTTTTCCCGAATGACTGCGGCAGTGCGAATCCGGGTTTCCTTTGGATATCCCTGCAAAAACACGGTCCACCAATTTGAGAAACCCGCAGAAAGTCTCATTCTTGCTTTGGGAGCGATCTTGGATGGTGTATCACAGAATGCCAAAGCCCCCCTGAGCCCCTCACTCCCTAGCTTCCCTACAATGCGACCCTAGGGCCTTAAGCCTTATTCGGAGGGTGCTCCGGTATGTAACTCACATACATATATAATATATATACAAGTAACACATGCCATTATCCAGTCGTTCTGGCCGTTCAGGCGCCATCTTTTTCTTGGCGTGAACCATGGCGCATGACCATTTGACCAGCAAGCCCCCTAAGTACCCGAGACATCAACCGGTCCAAGACTTGGCATTTCGGGCCAGGTACAACTGTGACAAGCTGATGGATCGTGTCCATAAATGGTACAAGTCCGTGGTGAAGAAGGACGGGACGGGGCACGGCAAGTCTTTCCCACTGCATGGAGCTCTCACCCTTCGCAGTCGACTGGGGAGAATGAATACAAGGCTCGGATCCTTGTGATAGTCCCAGCAAGCAGGTTTTGGCTGAGTCTCAAGATGCTCACCCGTGGCATGTGGGGGTCTTCAGATACTTTCCCATGAAGGGTCTGAGTCAAGTCATGCCAGATCCTAGCGAACAAGCGGGCTGCTCCCCAGTGTTGACTCATGGCGCCCAAGTTGAGAAGTGATAATGACCTGACCTCGCGTGATGGGGTGGGGGGGTGGGGCGACCTCCTTCCAGAGGTGGCGTCTTTGGCTTTTTAGATTGCTTCACGTCGTCTTCCATCAGTTGGAGATGTGGCTGTGGGTCAAACCAAGGACATTCCATATTCTGGTGCTTTAATTTTGACACATACCCATGTCATTTTTGTGACTCGAATTGTTTTGATGCCAGGAATCGATCCTAAGTCTGTCAGGTCGGAGAAGCCATTCGGAGAATGGATCCAAGACCATCCCTTTTCTTGGTTGTTGTTGGGAAACATTTTACATTTTTGCTTATTGTGGTTTAGTGGTTGAAATCCAACCACATAACTGCTAAAATTTGAATTTTGCTCCCCTTTCAAGGTCAACCAAGTTTTAGGAACCCTCAATGGTTCCCTGGAACCAACGAGCTCCGTCCTGGGGGTGCGTGGGCCCGCCTGTTGCACAGGCCTGCTTTTCTTTTGGCTCGGCGCATGGGTTGGTCACTGCTAACTTTTGCGCGTGCAAGGCAGGCAGAAAAAGCCCTCCCCCAATTTATATGAAGCCGACCACTTGTATGGAGCCCTTGGTGGCTGCACTGCCTTTAACGAAGCATTGTGGCAGCATTGGCCGGAAGCTGGCATTTGAGGCAGGGACTTGCAGGTCAACAAAGGCACTGGTCGACGACAAGTTTTGGGAGCGTTTGGATTAACCAGCAGAGCTTTTTCACCCTGTCCAGCTCGCAAGCGGTCTTGGTAAATTCCTGGTTCTTGGTTTCCCCAAAAACAGCATCTCTCAGTCACATTTTGCAAGGGTCGGTCGCTCGTCGAGGGTGCATGTCAACATGAGCAGGCCTCGTGCCTTGTGTTTTGTAAGGAAGTGAAGATTGTGCACACCACTTGGAGATTTTGTTTGACGCATCTCAGGTCAAAGCTTGGAATGCCGCAAGATTCTGACTCGCAACTTTCCATTCCTGAATGCAAACCAATTGAGAGGTGAAGGGCGACTCCTAGTTAAATTCATGTGTCGTACTTCTTGGCCAGTGTGTGTGTGTGTGTTTCCAACATGGCGGGTTTCCTGGTTTCCCTTTAAGCCAACCGGAAATGGGCACCCTCAAAAGAAACCCGCACATTGCCCACCAACTTCTTGATCTCCAGTGGTGCTTTGTTCCTTCTCCCTGAATTAGTCGGCGCGGGTTTCCAAACTGTGCCTGAGCACTTGCTTGACACGAGTCCAAGTTTGTTGGATCGCAGCAAGTGTTTGCGTTGTCTCCATCCTGAAGGCTCCTTGACAGCCTCCAGACTTGCGAATGCCGCCCTCAGGAGTGGGAAGAGAAGGGCACGCCAGTGGAAGACAGCACCTTGGATGTTGCTTTGGTTTTGCGGGATAAGATGGGGCTGGTTAGAAGACCGGGGGGGAAGGTGTTGGAAGCAAGGAAAGACTTGGGCATGACTTGCCGGCCATTGGAATCTACGAATCGTTTCTGAATGTTTCCCCGATGCTTGACCTTTAGCTTTTTCTTTCGTGTTGGAAAGTTTGTGCCACTCAATCACCACGATTTGGGCGGTCACGTTGACCCACCTGTGACAAGCAACCGACAGACGTACAGTTTCAACCTTTGGCGGTGTCACTTTGTGAGACACGCAGAGCTCAAGGAGGACCTTCTCAACTCATGCCCATCAACTAACAAACATAGTTGTCCTGTTTGGTTGTTTTGGTCGAAAAATAGGTGGGTTTCGATTCCTGGTGTACCTAACAAAGCCTTGAGCTGCGTGTCGCTTTTTTTTTGGCTCGATCCCAGGCAAAGAAGCCGGGCTCGTGGTGGGAAGGCCCGCGGAAAGCGCTGGGACGGGCTTTAGGTTTCGCCTCCTTGCCGGCCGGGCACTGCCCCCTCCAAATGCCCAAGTCGTCACTTTAGGCTGCAGTACAAACATGTTGAAAGGGAAAAGCTCCGATTAGTTTTTGTTTGGTGGTCAGCACAGATTAGTCAGGAACGAAAGACAGACAATTCGTGAGGTGTGTCCTCGCCGACCTCAAGCTGAGGTTCTGCAGCAAGCAATCAGCCAGTTTAGTATTGGTTTAGATTTGTTCTATTCTAAAAATAGTACTGGTGACCCGGCGAGAAGCATCTGCCGAGCTATATGTGGTTGCCAACTCTCGGACCATTCTTTTCTCACCAAAATGGCTGTGGCTCATAAACATTGTGCCCAAAATGGTAATTGCCTTGGTATATGGAAATAGGAACAAAACCTGCGATTGGTCCCCGGCGGTTTTTGAAGTTTGAGCCACACCAAAGGACTCGGAACATCGGAACTCGCCAGGCGTGAGCTGACGCAGCTGGGCGGAAAGGTGGAGGAGGCAATGATTGCAAGCGCGCGAAGCGAGTGTTTTCGGGGGACGCGGAAGCGAGTCCCGATGGAAAGTTGGTTCCAGGAATAAACCAAAACCGAATCCTTCAGTAAGGAAGTGGTGCTGAATATGCGCAAGTCCAGCACAATGGAAGTAATGGGCTCAATCTTTGAGCCGAGTTTGAAGAGCCGTGCACTGCAGGGGTGTCCGTACAGTTGAAATCTCCGTGGAATTCTACTTTCAGTTTGTTCAAAACTTAGTTTGCCAATTCTCTGTTGCCAAGCTGCGCCTTTTCTCATTTTTTGGGGGGAAGGGTTCCCCTTTGAAGTCAACCAACCAAAAAAAGTGCCCTTTTTCTCGCATGGCCTTTCTCGCATCTGAGAATGTGGTTCTCATCATTTCAGCCTTTGGCGAAAGCCTGGGGATGCCGGACTTGATCTTTTGTCCCTTGCGAGAAGAAGAAAAAAAGAGACGGGACGTCTCCCGGTGATTCGTTTGGGCCGAAGCCCTCAGGCAACATTTGTTCATGGCTGGGCCCGAGAGCACCCCTGTACATGTATCCAGCCAAAAGATTGAATAATATGGAATATGTTAGTAGAGAGGACACCTTGAGAAGTAAAGTTAAGAGCAAACCCATTGGCGTACCCAACTCAGGGGTAAACGGAAATAGTAGGCACACAAGCTCACCAGTTTGTCGCGGCTTTCTGCGGGAGAGTCCAGTTTTCAGGTGTTTGACTTGGTCCCCCAGCTAGGTGCCCAGTCTCACCGTGTCATTTTTTTTGGGGGAGGGTTCCCCTACTACAATAGACGAAACCGAAAAAAGTTAGGGTACCAACTAATTCTAAGTTCTCTCAACTGGAGGGGTTGATCATTTTGTCTGGAGGTCAGCTCCCGTGTTTCAGGGGTTGGTCTCCCCGGTGAGGTCGAAGGTCTGAGCTCCGGCAGGTGGCCCGAGGGAACTTGGTGCAGTTGGACGAGGACGGTTGGACGGGCGAGGCTCAAAGAAGTGGCAAGGTCAACAAAACTGGGTACCCACAAGACATGGTGGTTGTCGGGCTTTACATTTGTTTTTTTAAAAAAAATGTTTGATCTTATTGTGGTTGAAATGCAAATCCACTCAACTGCTAAAATTTGAGAATGTTTGCTCCCCTTCAACGTCAACCAAGAAGATGGAATCTTGGTGTCTCGCCTTCCGGTTCCTGGAAGCTCTTTTTTTCTCTTTTGGGTTTAGTGGTGGCTTCTATTTAACCCACTAAAAGTTAAAATTCTAGCAGATCTGAGAGCAGCCCAGGAATGTTAAATGGAATGGACTAAACCTGCGGTCCATTTCCTGGTGTGTGTTTTTTGACCCATACCCGAATGTACCAAAATGGCTGGGGTAAATGGAGCCAAAGTCTAAAACCTGCGTAACCCTAGCTCGTCCATTTAGCCACGCTCGACGGGTAAAGTTGGTGACCATTCCTGAGGAAGCCCAAAGGTTGTTAATGGTTTAAAGCAGTTTTACAAACAGGGCGGCCAATCCTACCTGAAGTTTAGACGGTCATCAGCCTGGAGTCTTGGGTAGTTGACTCAAGAACTGGAGTTCCCTCGCGGGTTGGCAGAGCGCTGCTTGCTGAGACTCCCCCTCTCCGAGAGGGTTATTTTTTTGAATTCCTTTTTTAAAGAATACCCACTGCACACAGGGTTTTCTCCTTAAAGTGGAGACAACATGGTCATGGATTCCTCCTTGGAGTGCCAAAGAAATTCCCAAAGGTCACTGTTGACTTGAAGCAACTGCACCATGAGGCGCATGTCCTTGATGTTTAAAGGGGCAATGGGAGTTGGACAAGCCACCACTGAGGCTGCTACTCTCTTGTCCCGAACCCAAAAAGGCTGGAGGGTTGACAGGTAGCTTAAGGAAACATTCCCAGCCGCGGGTCGTTTCTGACGCAAATTTCTGCAACGATGTCCTGATGCCTGCAACGATGTCCTGATGGAAGCGTTTCAACTTTTGGAGGGTCTGCCTTCATTTTTCCAGTGCTTTCCGCACGTGGGTCCATGTTGATGTGGGGCTCATCTTCCTTTCCCGTCAAGCCCGCCCAAGAAAGAGGTGCCGATTTGGAAAACCCTTGAATGTTTTGGTTCTTGGCGGGTGTGTTTGCATTGCCAGAGTAGACAGTCTGTTTGCGTTTTGTGCCTTGGTTCCCAGCATTTTCCCACTGGGGACTTGGCTTCAACCATGTGTTATAGAACTGACCAGCCACAGGTTGTAATGTGCGAAGTCTTGCCAAATTGCTTCATTGTGCGATCTTCGATCGATTTTGCCTAAGACCCTAAGACTGAGTATGGTGTTTTCAACTATGAGATAGTTCGGCGAACTTCTTGCGATCTCAATGACGAAAGATCCTTAGGGAAGGGTTTGTGGGTAACATCTTACCCAAACCAATCATAGCTGAAGATGTGGGACTTCCCCTTGTTGCAGTACTCGGGGCATCCGTAAGACCCTTGCCAAAGGTCAAGAAAACATACCCAAAAACTACAAAATCCCGGTGTTTCAACAGACCCACCCCCCATGCGTGGCCCTTCTGTAAGACAAATGGCCAAACATCAGCCCCAAAATTGCCCCAAAGGAAGCCCTCACCCCACCACCACGCCTGGCGGCTCGCTGCACGCCGCACAGGCGTCCCATAAGAAGTGAAATGCATTCCCAGCCATCCGGTTCCTTAGCTTAGGCATTTAGTGTTTAGTGGTTTCCGAAATTTCACCCACTAAAGTTGTTAAACTTTTCGCGGATCTGAGGGCAGCCGACTGCGAATGTGGTTTCGCAGATCGACGATAGGAGCTGCCGAAGGGGCGCAGAAGGAAGACCCAGTTCCAGGCCTATTGGCGTTGAGCGGACAAGTCGCCTGCGCATTTTTTTGGTTTTCTGCGGGTCTGTGAGTCAGAAACAACGGACGGGGGAAGGGGAGCGTTTGAAAAAACATGGGTCAGAGAAACAACGGACGGGGGAAGGCCAAGGGGAAGATTTGGGGAGCGTTTGAAAAAAAATGGGTCAGAGAAGCAACGGACGGGGGAAGGCCAAGGGGAAGATTTGGGGAGCGTTTGAAAAATGGGTCAGAGAAGCAACGGACGGGGAAGCCAAGGGGAAGTGGGAGCGTTTGAAAAAAATGGGTCAGAGAAGCAACGGACGGGGGAAGGCCAAGGGGAAGATTTGGGGAGCGTTTGAAAAAAATGGGTCAGAGAAGCAACGGACGGGGGAAGGCCAAGGGAAGATTTGGGGAGCGTTTGAAAAAAAATGGGTCAGAGAAGCAACGGACGGGGAAGGCCAAGGGGGGAGCGGATTGAAGGCCAAAGATTTGGGGAGCGATTGGTCAGAGAAGCAACGGACGGGGGAAGGCCAAGGGGAAGATTTGGGGAGCGTTTGAAAAAAAATGGGTCAGAGAAGCAACGGACGGGGGAAGGGCAAGGGGAAGATTTGGGGAGCGTTTGAAAAAAAATGGGTCAGAGAAGCAACGGACGGGGGAAGGCCAAGGGGAAGATTGTGGGAGCGTTTGAAAAAAAATGGGTCAGAGAAGCAACGGACGGGGGAAGGCCAAGGGGAAGATTTGGGGAGCGTTTGAACAAAAATGGGTCAGAGAAGCAACGGACGGGGGAAGGCCAAGGGGAAGATGTGGGGAGCGATTGAAAAAAAATGGGTCAGAGAAGCAACGGACGGGGGAAGGCCAAGGGGAAGATTTGGGGAGCGTTTGAAAAAAATGGGTCAGAGAAGCAACGCACGGGGAAAAGCCAAGGGGAAGATTTGGGGAGCGATTGAAAAAAAATGGGTCAGAGAAGCAACGGACGGAGGAAGGCCAAGGGGAAGATTTGGGGAGCGTTTGAAAAAACATGGGTCAGAGAAGCAACGGACGGGGGAAGGCCAAGGGGAAGATTTGGGGAGCGTTTGAAAAAAAATGGGTCAGAGAAGCAACGGACGGGGAAAAGCCAAGAGGAAGATTTGAGAAGCGTTTGAAACAAATGGGTCAGAGAGTCAGAGAAGCAACGGACGGGGGAAGGCCAAGGGGAAGATTTGGGGAGCGTTTGAAAAGAAATGGGTCAGAGAAGCAACGGACGGGGGAAGGCCAAGGGGAAGATTTGGGGAGCGTTTGAAAAAGTGGGTCAGAGAAGCAACGGACGGGGGAAGGCCAAGGGGAAGATTTGGGGAGCGTTTGAAAAAATTGGGTCAGAGAAGCAACGGACGGGGGTAGGCCAAGGGGAAGATTTGGGGAGCGTTTGAACAAAAATGGGTCAGAGAAGCAACGGACGGGGGAAGGCCAAGGGGAAGATTTGGGGAAGATTTGGGGAGCGTTTGAAAAAAAATGGGTCAGAGAAGCAACGGACGGGGGAAGGCCAAGGGGAAGATTTGGGGAGCGTTTGAACAAAAATGGGTCAGAGAAGCAACGGACGGGGGAAGGCCAAGGGGAAGATTTGGGGAGCGTTTGAAAAAAATGGGTCAGAGAAGCAACGGACGGGGGAAGGCCAAGGGGAAGATTTGGGGAGCGTTTGAAAAAAAATGGGTCAGAGAAGCAACGGACGGGGGAAGGCCAAAAAACATGGGTCAGAGAAGCAACGGACGGGGAAAAGGCAAGAGGAAGACTTGGGGAGCGTTTGAAAAAAAATGGGTCAGAGAAGCAACGCACGGGGAAAAGCCAAGAGGAAGTTTTGGGGAGCGTTTGAAAAAAAATTGGGTCAGAGAAGCAACGGACGGGGGAAAGCCAAGAGGAAGATTTGGGGAGCGTTTGAAAAAACATGGGTCAGAGAAGCAACGGACGGGGGAAAGCCAAGAGGAAGATTTGGGGAGCGATTGAAAAAAAATGGGTCAGAGAAGCAACGGACGGGGGAAAGCCAAGAGGAAGATTTGGGGAGCGTTTGAAAAAAAATGGGTCAGAGAAGCAACGGACGGGGGAAGCCAAGAGGAAGATTTGGGGAGCGTTTGAAAAAAAATGGGTCAGAGAAGCAACGGACGGGGGAAAGCCAAGAGGAAGATTTGGGGAGCGTTTGAAAAAAAATGGGTCAGAGAAGCAACGGACGGGGAAAAGCCAAGAGGAAGATTTGAGAAGCGTTTGAAACAAAAATGGGTCAGAGAAGCAACGGACGTGGAAAAGGCAAGAGGAAGATTTGGGGAGCGTTTGAAAAAAAATGTGTCAGAGAAGCAACGGACGGGGACAAGCCAAGAGGAAGATTTGGGGAGCGTTTGAAAAAAAATGGGTCAGAGAAGCAACGGACGGGGAAAAGCCAAGAGGAAGATTTGGGGAGCGATTGAACAAAAATGGGTCAGAGAAGCAACGGACGGGGAAAAGCCAAGAGGAAGATTTGGGGAGCGATTGAAACAAAGTGGGTCAGAGAAGCAACGGACGGGGAAAAGCCAAGAGGAAGATTTGGGGAGCGTTTAAAAAAAATGGGTCAGAGAAGCAACGGACGGGGAAAAGCCAAGAGGAAGATTTGGGGAGCGTTTGAAAAAAAATGGGTCAGAGAAGCAACGGACGGGGAAAAGCCAAGAGGAAGATTTGAGAAGCGTTTGAAACAAAAATGGGTCAGAGAAGCAACGGACGGGAAAAGCAAGAGGAAGAGTTTGGGGAGCGTTTGAAAAAAAATGGTCAGAGAAGCAACGGACGGGGCCAAGAGGAAGATTTGGGGAGCGTATGAAAAAAAATGGGTCAGAGAAGCAACGGACGGGGAAAAGCCAAGAGGAAGATTTGGGAGCGATTGAAACAAATGTGGGTCAGAGAAGCAACGGACGGGGAAAAGCCAAGAGGAAGATTTGGGGAGCGTTTAAAAAAAATGGGTCAGAGAAGCAACGGACGGGGAAAAGCCAAGAGGAAGATTTGGGGAGCGTTTGAAAAAAAATGGGTCAGAGAAGCAACGGACGGGGAAAAGCCAAGAGGAAGATTTGAGAAGCGTTTGAAACAAAAATGGGTCAGAGAAGCAACGGACGGGGAAAAGCCAAGAGGAAGATTTGGGGAGCGTTTGAAAAAAAATGGGTCAGAGAAGCAACGGACGGGGAAAGCCAAGAGGAAGATTTGGGGAGCGTTTGAAAAAAAATGGGTCAGAGAAGCAACGGACGGGGAAAAGCCAAGAGGAAGATTTGGGGAGCGTTTGAAAAAAAAGGTCAGAGAAGCAACGGACGGGGGAAAGCCAAGAGGAAAATTTGGGGAGCGTTTAAAAAAAATGGGTCAGAGAAGCAACGGACGGGGAAAGCCAAGAGGAAGATTTGGGGAGCGTTTGAAAAAAAATGGGTCAGAGAAGCAACGGACGGGGAAAGCCAAGAGGAAGATTTGGGGAGCGTTTGAAAAAAAATGGGTCAGAGAAGCAACGGACGGGGGAAAGCCAAGAGGAAGATTTGGGGAGCGTTTGAAAAAAAATGGGTCAGAGAAGCAACGGACGGGGGAAAGCCAAGAGGAAGATTTGGGGAGCGTTTGAAAAAAAATGGGTCAGAGAAGCAACGGACGGGGGAAAGCCAAGAGAAGATTTGAAAAAATGGGTCAGAGAAGCAACGGACGGGGGAAAGCCAAGAGGAAGATTTGGGGAGCGTTTGAAAAAAAATGGGTCAGAGAAGCAACGGACGGGGAAAAGCCAAGAGGAAGATTTGGGGAGCGTTTGAAAACAACTTGGTCAGAGAAGCGAAGATTTGGGGAGCGATTGAAAAAAAATGGGTCAGAGAAGCAACGGACGGGGGAAAGCTAAGAGGAAGATTTGGGGAGCAATTGAAAAAAAATGGGTCAGAGAAGCAACGGACGGGGGAAAGCCAAGAGGAAGATTTGGGGAGCGTTTGAAAAAAATGGGCCAGAGAAGCAACGGACGGGGGAAAGCCAAGAGGAAGATTTGGGGAGCGTTTGAAAAAAATGGGTCAGAGAAGCAACGGACGGAGGAAAGCCAAGAGGAAGATTTGGGGAGCGATTGAAAAAAAATGGGTCAGAGAAGCAACGGACGGGGGAAAGCCAAGAGGAAGATTTGGGGATCGTTTGAAAAAAAATGGGTCAGAGAAGCAACGGACGGGGAAAAGCCAAGAGGAAGATTTGGGGAGCGTTTGAAAAAAAATGGGTCAGAGAAGCAACGGACGGGGGAAAGCCAAGAGGAAGATTTGGGGAGCGTTTGAAAACAATTGGTCAGAGAAGCAACGGACGGGGGAAAGCCAAGAGGAAGATTTGGGGAGCGTTTGAAAAAAAAATGGTCAGAGAAGCAACGGACGGGGGAAAGCCAAGAGGAAGATTTGGGGAGCAACGGGTCAGAGAAGCAACGGACGGGGGAAAGCCAAGAGGAAGATTTGGGGAGCGTTTGAAAAAAAATGGGTCAGAGAAGCAACGGACGGGGGAAAGCCAAGAGGAAGATTTGGGGAGCGTTTGAAACAAAATGGGTCAGAGAAGCAACGGACGGGGGAAAGCCAAGAGGAAGTTTTGGGGAGCGTTTTGGGTCAGAGAAGCAACGGACGGGGGAAAGCCAAGAGGAAGATTTGGGGAGCGTTTGAAAAAAATGGGTCAGAGAAGCAACGGACGGGGGAAAGCCAAGAGGAAGATTTGGGGAGGAAACGGTCAGAAAGCAACGGACGGGAGCAGGCCTGGGAAGATTTGGGGAGCGTTTGAAACAAAATGGGTCAGAGAAGCAACGGACAGGGGCAAGCCAAGAGAGGAAGTTTTGGGGGAGCGTTTGAAAAAAAATGGGTCAGAGAAGCAACGGACGGGAAAGCCAAGAAGGAAGATTTGGGAGCGTTCCGGAAGATTTGGGGAGCGTAGCAACGGACGGGGAAAAGCCAAGAGGAAGATTTGGGGAGCGTTTGAAAAAAAATGGGTCAGAGAAGCAACGGACGGGGGAAAGCCAAGAGGAAGATTTGGGGAGCGTTTGAAA